CCATTCGCCCATTCCCACAGCTCGGCTCCCTCCGCCCGGCCCCGGCTCCCTCCGGCTCACACATTTCCTCAGGGCACCTCATTCCAGGGCACACAAACTGCAGCCCCTAAAGGCTTGCGGCTCTTTCAACACACACACACTTGCTCCTTTAGGACAAGAATAGTTACATCTAAAAGCAATTCCCTCATTTTGCATCTCCTTTTTATTTAACCTCCCCAAAATCCCATACATATCACAAGGAATGTGCAGTTCTGGTTCCCCCACCCTCTGTACCCTATTTGTACAAAGGACCTGGGCGCAGCACACACTCGAAATACAACTGAATAAAGCCCGGCTTCAATAATCAGAACAACTGACGTTTGTTTACAAATTAGGTGCAGTTTTGTATGGTGCTGCGTACCCTTGGAGCCGAGTCGAGGAAAAAGAGCTACAGCGCTAGAACCTAAGTTTTAGCAGCCAAGTCATTTGTAATTTGTGCCATAAAGTAAACAAAGCATAACTACAGTATTATCTGCTGAAGTTCTCCACTGTGGATTTCGGGTACAGCAGCACGTGCTTTACTCCCAACAAAAGCTGCTCAGGTGGGGGGAGCCGGGAAGCCAAGTCTCTCCACTTTGTCTGAACACCATCTTCCAGGAAGGTACTGCTTCCTCTCGCCCAGGCTCCCTTCAGCAAAGTGGCAAATTCAGAATCCGGTGCCACAGGAGGCCCTTGGCTTACCTCCTTGTGGTTTTCAAACTGTTTAAAGCGAAACAAAAAGCATAAGAGAAAAACAGTGATGAGCATGAAACAAAAATCTCTTCAGCCACCTTTGTTTTGAGATGAGCTCTGAACTGAAGCTCTGGGAGCACAGGCGTGCAAGTCCTGCTAGAACAGAGCTGCCCAGCAGTGTCCCCATGGGGCATCTGGAGTGTTCACACTGCTGAGATGAGAAAAACTCACCAAACCCAGCCCAGGGGCCTGTGATCCTCCACCCACCCGGGGGAACTCCGGGCGCTGTAAACAGAGGCCACAGCACACACCAGGCTCTGCTGTGCCCGGTGAGGAGTCTCTGTATGAGCCCTGAGCCCTGGCATCGCCTCCCAAACACCACAGAGACCTCTTGTGCCATCAGAGAAAAGCCCTGGAGCAAACGTGTGTCCCCAGCACGATCAACAAGAGATGCAGAATTACCTCCTCAATAAAAACGCTGTTTCTGATGGAAATGTAACCTATGTCGACTGCGAGGATTTTATAGGAATGCTGGCTCAAGAATTCAGTGACTTCAGGGATTCCATACCACAGGTTCCTGGGACTGCTTGGGCATCCAGAGTCTATAGTATCGGTTAAACTGGTAGAGCTGAGGATACTTAGCAGCTTTCAGGGACTCGGGATCTTTGTCACAGAGCTGCAACGTCAAGCAGGGAGCAAGGGGTTCTCTCAGAGAGTGCAGGAGGCCAGTGAAAACAGCACCAAGGTACTCCACATCATCTGCTCCTAGAAAAGCCAAATAAATTAAACTACTGACATGAGCACGGACACTGGGGCAACCTTCCTTACTTTGGGCCTTGCCAGCAGCCCACAGAGCCTCACGCAGAAAAGAACTGATCGAGATCAAAAAGTGTTCCTAGTGACCTAGACACATGCTCCTGGCCGCTGAGGTACCTGAAAAACCCTCCAGACATCATCAGCTCTTGCTGAAGCAAATAATCCACCTTCACCGTGTTATGCTAAACACACGCCCAGTCCTTAACAGGGAGATACCCTGCCAGGCACCGCCTCAGAGAAGAACCGAGCTGTACTGGGGGGACACACCCAGCCAACGTGTACGAGTTAAACAGAATTTTCTCTCAGAACTGGGACTTTCAGCACCCCCCAGGTGCTACTCGACTGCCACATACACACAGAGGGCTTCGTGAGGTGCTCTGGGGTTGGCCAGTCCTGCTCCAAGCCCTGCTGATGCCCCTGTGATTTTAACGCTGTCCTCAAGGAGGTGGTAGAACCTCACAGTATTTGCCCCTGAAGCTTAATTTCTGAAGTTTTCTTTGGGAAACGCATCCACTTCCTACTTAACAAGGCAGACCTCTCTCCCTGATCTCGGGAAGAGCTGCCTACAGGCAGGGGAACCACCTTCCTCTCCTGATCGCCACGCTCTGCCCTTAAAACGCTGTTACTGAGGCCAACTACTTGCAGGCCAAGACTGTCCATGCAGGCACAGTTTCCCTTCTCTTTAGGGTCAGGGAAAAAGGGCAGAAGCACCTACAGAGCTTCAATGCCCCGCTTGAGCACAAAGCACCGTGAATCTGCACCTCCTTCTGCTTGCTGGGAAGATAATAAAATGCCTCAAGGTAAAAAATTATAAATGGTAAAAAGTTATAACAAGAGGGTAGAAATGATGCCACTTTCACTCCACTGCTAGAAATGACACATAAAAAATAAAAAAAAAACTGTACCTGTTCTGTTTTCAGACTGAAGCAACAGCATATTCCTGGCTTCTAATGCAGCAGGGACAACAGCACTAAAGGGAAATGTTTGGATAATCATATCTTCATTCAAAGAGAACCCAATTCCTTCATCTAAGCCATCACTGCCCTCCATCAGAACAGCCAGCATATCCACGACATCTAATAAGTGACGGAAAAAATGTAAGCAGAGGATCCAGAGTAACTGGGAAAACAACACAGGTAGAATGCAATATTCCAGGAACACAAGGTATCTTTTTAGTTCCCAAAAAAAAAAAAAAAAAAAAAAAGGAGCAAAAAAAAAAAAAAAAAAAAAAAAAAAAAAAAA